TGCTTTTACTACACTTTTCTGTTTTGTGCATCATTTTTTATTTGGTAGATTCTTTGTTATTCTCATGAATGTCAGGGTTTCTTCACCAAAATAGTCTCTTTTCTTTAGGTTGTTGTGTGCGTTTTTGAACAGTCTCCTTCCCTCCTCGATGTTTTCCATCTTAGGAGCTGCAGGAGGGAGGCAGAGCCGATCCAGCTTTCTGAATTACAGTGTTATCTGTGCGTGCATTTGTTGTTGTTTCCAAGCTTTTCGCTATCCTCACAGTATGCTCTCCCACTCTGCACGGTCACCTCCTCCTATCTGTCCTGTCTTCTGTCTCTTGTTCCCCTCCTGGTGTGGTGTAGGATGTCTGTTACAGTTTTCTGCTGTGATGAGATCTCATTAAAATCAATGATTTCCATTTTCACAGCCCTCACTGAGGGTGGGTATGTTTTGCCATAACTCACTGTCGAGCTGTAAGCACTATGTGTGATTAAAACTAGATTCATGAAGCATTTTGGAAAACATTTTGATGCTAAAACTGAGATGTTTGGTGTCTGCAGTGGTAGTTTCTATGTGACAAAGTAGCAATTTTCATTTTTTTATTTTTTATTTCTTCTTACATTAATTTTTTATCTGGCTTATATATTTTCATAATGTAGTTTTAAGTTTCACCTTATGATAGTGGCTTTTCTTTTGAGATTCAGGCTTTTTCATTTCTATAGGAACAACATTGGAAAATATTGATTTCCATCCTTCCTGCTGTGAGCTGTCATAATTATTACTTGGAGTGGAAGACTGGGAGTAAAGAGTCATTATAAAAATGTTTTTCACCATCTTCAAACAAAGATGAAGAAAAAATGGTTCCGTCAGGTTTGAAAAAGGTTATTTATCCAGAACCGGAACACTGTTAAAGAAATAATAAATTTAAATAGATTAAAATAGAATAATTTAACATAGATGCATGTTTCAATGACATCCTCTTCCTTTTAATGAACCATTTAAAAGCGTAATATCAACATTATATCCATCATTATTATAATTTTTTATTAACTGCCTGACAGAATGACCAAACCGTACTGCCATTTCACCGTATTTTGAACTTCACTTAAATGAACTCTGATGTCAGTTAAATGACTCTGCTTGAAATAGATTTGTGGTCCTTAGCTAGGATTCTGATTTAAAACTCAAAATGAAGCATTAAAAGGACCTACATTATTTATTTTTACAAATAAAATTTACAGTGGCTTTAAAAATGCATAGTCGTATTTATAGCACTGTGCGAACCCAGAACTCAGGCATTTGATCTCCATAATATAAGGCGATATACTCCATGTGTCCTTCCTGATAGTGTTTTGGTGGTCCTTTTTAAGTGGTTATGGCGATGAGCAGACTTAAATGGATGCGGTACCAGAAAGAAGAACTACCAGAAAGCCAGATGGCGACAATTGATGTAGCAACATTAAAAAGCCCAACCTTCCTGCAATGTGCCATGGTAAAACAACAGCTTGGCGCTGTCAAAGACCAATGGAGCCAGAGCAACCCTACATTGTAGTGAAGCTCCCAAGAGCCTCCTATCTGAACATCAAGGAAAAAGAAAAGTTTTTCCTTGATGTTCAGCTTTAAGGTCAGAATCAACCACTCGATCAATCATGTTTTGTGTACTTTGACTGCTGAGACTAAGAACAGTGCTGTCATCACTAGTATAAGCATTTATAAATATGAGTACTCAATCCACCCACTAAGCAGCCACATTTGAGTGTCTTGTCTGCTCCAGCTCTGTGCAGAGATCACCAATGCTTGTA